CAGCAAACACCTAAATTTCATGCTTAATAGATAAAGCATGCATTCTGTAGAGTTTGTGCATGGTACATATTCTGTCCATTAAGGTTACTGTGCAAAAAGAGATTCTCAACCACTGAAGATGTTTCTGTAATTCTGTTAAAATTATTAGCAACATTTTTAAAGTTTTGCAGGCCTGTGTGCGACTAACGAAAAAAAATAAAATCATACTTGTGGTTCACCCCTAATTGCTATACACAGGCACAGTACAAACTGACAAACAAGACAACAAAGGCAGCAGCCTAAATGTCCAATGAACTGGGAAAACATGATTGCAGTTTACTAAAAAAGTTATATAAATATTTTCAAATTGCACAAAGCTTTGTACAGGTGGATCTATCAGTGCAAATACATATATATGAGGTACCAATTCACTCAGATCTTTTTATAGGCCAGATCTATTTATATGTATCTCACAATCACTCTCTTAAATTCCTGTTGTCAGATAAATGCTACAGCTTGTCAGCCTCTAAGTAAAATCAAAGTCAAAACAATTTTTCAGCATATTCAATATTGTAATTTGTATTCATTATAATTTCCCTAAGATTTAGTTTCTGAGCTTTCACTACTGAGACTGCTTAATTAATTTGTTTTTTAAAAGCACTAGCGTTAATTTTGTTTTTCAAGATTTGACATGATTATAGGGGAAAGTTAAAACTGTATATGTAAACTGGAACAATAACAATAACGGGCTGAATATATTAACGTTGTTTGAAATTTTGGTAAGTACTGTTAGGAAGGAGGAACACAGTTATTGCTATTTGGAGACTTAAAAATAAAATAAACCAACCTGAAAGCATAGACAGGACTGTTCCAATAGTGAAAATTTGCTAGATACAAAACAGCATTCTGCCTAAAATTAGTCCTTTTGCATTTGAACACTCTTCAAGTTATCTACAGCTTTCTCTTCCAGGTAACTATTATGACATTTACATGGAACTATGGATTTGAAGTGGCTAACTGTGGGACACACGCAGCTTTTCAGCTCTGGCAATTCTCTCTTAAGACGTTCCAGCTGCTCCACCTGGAATATATTTGGTTGCTCAGGATTTGAGTCATATATCCTGAATAAATGAGAAAAGAAAAAACATCGATCAGTATAAACTGACAGTTGACAGAAATGTACACTAGATAAAGCAACTGTTGTTTTTTTTCCCCTAATAGAGTAAAATTAGGTATTGGCAAGTCTATAAAGACAGTTTGCTTGAGGTTAGTATCCAAAGTTTTGCTGCTCATCTTGCAATATAAAATGGTATTCCTTTTACACAGACTGATTAGTATTTCATTGGATATACTAAAAAGCTACCCATTGGCATTTACTTACTTCGTCTCCTGAAAAAATGTGATTTTACAGGTGGCACAAAACAGTGCCAAACAGTGGCACAAAACAGTAAGAGAAGTTTTCCAGGCTTCAAACTTAAAAGCATAAGAAATTTCAGAGCCCTGTACATTATACTGAAAGGAGTTTATACTTACTGCTTCAATAAGTGTTTCACCTCCCCCCAGTTCAGAACCACCTCTCTTGAATTACCATAACAATATTAGGTCAAGAGTGAAAACCAGAAAACCTGATCTTTCTTCATACCTAATGTAAATTAACTACCTACACCATTTCAAGTAGTCTATCCTCATTTCAATTTCTTGTTTTCACACATGTAAACAAACCTGCAGGATTTAAAATGTCACCTCACACAAGACTGTCCAAATCCAACACGCATTTTGAGTCTGACAGTGACACTGAGCATAATTCAAATACTATTTTGGTGTAACTCATTATAAAGCAAAAGCATTCGTGTTCCTGTAGCCCAACTATGGTACAACACATATTGTGATAAGGATACATCCTGATCTCCCAACAGTGATTTCTAACACCAGCATATTATTTATATCCAAAATTTCCTTCTGAGAATCCAGTTGTGCATATACAGTTTCAGGTATTGCACATCTCCAGGTTTATCTCATTCAAATCAAAACTTCTGGAAGAAATGACCATGGCTTCTGCCTTAGTCTTTTATGAATATTCATACCTTTCCTTATGATTCCTTCAAAAAATTAGTTTGGTTTTATTTCATCATCTTGTGTCCTTCATAAGTTTTCAAGGTATGTCCAAAAGGAATGCAGTGTCACAACCAAAATAACAGAGTGGAAAGTGCCTTTTTACCCCAACAAGATGACTTGTGAACTGCTGGCAACTCTGAGACATCCCAAAAAAAAATGCAGCTCAAAGACCAATATAATAACAGGATTCAAATAAGGAAACACTTCTCCAGGAAATATTGATATGGATCACATTCTCTACAGTATGATCAAGGACAATTTCTGTGAAGAAACTCCTCGAAGTGAGGATAAATGCTGTCTGTTTTATGAAATTCAAATAGAAGGCATAGCAGTTAAATTACTTGCACAGCACCTATAATCCAATACAGACTCAAGATATAACCCAAAATTGCCTTATGGAAGCTATCTGCAAAATAAAAGCTCTGCCTTCTTTCCAGGATGCAGGTATTTCTTCAGTTAAGTTAGCTTACACATTATGAATTTCTCTATGCATTCAAGACAAAGCAATGAAACTCAAGATAGTTTTCTATACAGCAATACACTTTAGGGACTAAGAACCTCAAGTCCTTCCCATCAGTTAGACACTAGAAGAGCAAAGGCACGTTTCTAAGCACCTTGTTCCTAGAACGTGGCTAAGCGTGTTTCTAAGCAGCTTCTGTCAGGTGTTTTATTAGTTCTTTACTACAGCATAAATTCTCCAATTCTTGCTTCATATTAAATTCTTTTCAATTGACATTTTGGATGAATCCAACCCTCCAAGCTCCTTTGAACCTGTCCACCAGAACCAGTCTGCTCCAATGTGTATATAGTGTTTCTTCTAAAGCAGAAGCAGAGAAGACACTTTGAAGCACAGCTTGTAATTCAGAATTTCTTGTCCTCACTTTTCGTTCGGGTCCACGAAAGTAAGCCACCAGTTTGTAAGAACAGAGCACAGTTCCAGGATGTCTCTTAATTAATTATTTCCAACTTCGCCATCAAAATGAGTAACATCTCCCTATCCTTCATTCTCCAACAGGACACTTATTTGTAAGTAGCTATGCACCAAAGTTCCTCCATTCAACCTCCTATTAACAAGCAAGCACCACAGAAGGCTGGGAAGAATCCTTTAAAAATTACTTTTTAAAATAAGCACTTTCTACAAAAGACTTGCAGGGCATTGCAGGGTCATGCAGTGGATATAAAACTGATGTGTTTAGCTCCTGTCTGGTGTCTTTGCAACCTCTGAAAACACATACGAGACAAAAGTCATCAGTACTGAAATACTGTTTTCATGCTAAAAAGATTTTGTGAAGCTTTTGATTAAAACTCTTTTTCTTTGCATCAAGGTAAACTTGAGTTTAGTTTTATTTGCAATTCACAAAATAGGGAAGACTTAGATTGCCACTGCATAACATCTTAATCACTAAGTAGATTAAATTATAAATCAACTAATACTAGTCCACTTCCTTCATATATCCATGCTGTTATTTAAGTAACATGCAGTTTCAGGCAAACAGGACAGCGCAGATTTTGACAGTCTTCTACTTTTGAGAAGTGTTTGGAATGCTTTTGCCTTGATTGCCAGCTAAATTTGTGTTAAATTTTGGGAAGTTACTAATACCAATCAAGCACAGAGCTTTTGTCCAGAGTCCACAAATGCAACATGCAGCCTAAGAAAGCTCTCATGGAAAAGCTTTCAGCATAAGAATTACTGATTTGGCATTTTTATGTAGTTGTGTGTATTATTCAGCAAACAAAATTCAGATCATGTAAAGTGAATGAAAAAAGATAATGCAAGTGTAGGTTAGCACCCACCCCCTCTCCACGTTGGTATTTAATATAGAGCCAACAGGTGTAAAAACATAAGACTGCATTGTTCTTACTGAGTTAAGTATATTCAAATACAGAAGCATTTCCTGGACTGTTTAACAAAGCTTACCCAGGAGAAAAATACCAGATAAATCACCCCACAAATCCTGCTTTAACATTCATCATTTTTGGCCAAGCCAGAGAATTTCACTACAATAAGTTAAAGTTTCTTCTCTAAGTAAAATCTAAACATCAGACTAATAAAGCATTTTAAGGATGAGATTTCTGTGTAGACAGAATATACCCAGTCATGCACATAAAGTATTCTTCTGTATAAGGGCTCAAATAAAAGCCTGAAGGCAGAGGTGGCACCTTTCTGTAGGTTGTCCTTTTTAATATAAGTAATTTGGTTACTTTAAACACTGAGATGAAACTAGTTGAACACAGGAAAATAGTAGAGTATCATCCCAGCAACAGCACCAGAACATCCATTTGGTTTAATGTCTTTGGGTATATCTAATAACCTGCAGCCCAAGTGGAGAAAGGACTGGATGGGGGCAGAGGTGTGTGTGTTTTCCTCTGCCCCAGTGAGATCATTCTTTTAATATTGTTGGCATTTGTAAGCTTCCCAGATTTAGTCTTGCAGCTTTTCTTCATGCAAAGCAAAGTCAGAACCCCCTACCTGCATTTTTTTTTTGCCCAGTGCTTGATATCACCAACTTTTGGTATTCAGGACACAGTGTTTCTGCCATCTTCACAACTGGCTACAGTGTTTTGGCCAATTCTACATGGATGATTAAAGTTTGGAAAACACAGCTTACAGAAATTATCTCTATGCAGACAGTTCATTATCTCAGAAATCACTACTGCACACAGTAACTCAGGGCCACATGAAAGCAACCAAAAATTCACTAAAATTCCTCTATTCTCTTCCTAGCTTATTCAGATAACTAGCACTTAAGATAGTATAAGTAAAGGTCTAGTAAACAGCAACACAAAACACCAGGCACAGCGATTTTTGATAAATATCTGGACTTAGCCATAAATCCAGAGAACAAAAATTGTGCAGAAACCATGGAAGAAGCAAGCCTTGATTCAGGCCTAGAAATATTCTGGAATTTGAAGACACAACAATAGCATGAACTGGCTTTACACTAATTACTGCAGTCCCTACTTACTCCTAGATCTTGAAACAGGTAAGTGCATCTCTCTCTCGAGTTCTGCTTCACAGTAGTTTTAAATACATTTATTTCTAAACTTCAAACAGCACAGGAATATGGATGTTTACACCACACCTATTTAAACTCTAAATATCAACTTCATAGTCTCAAATGATCTGGAAGATTGCCTCTTTACCCAGCAGCTCCAAGTGGGAGTGGAAACATGTGCTGCCAGGTTTTACTTTTTGACATTCTGTCCAGGACTTGCAAATACCACCTGCATTTCAAAGTGTCCAGCTTGAGAGACCTCATGCAACTTTCAGAAAGTGTCATATTTCTCCTAAAGGGACCTATATTAAGACTGAATTTAATTTTATTTAGACAATTAGTAAGTTTTGAAAAGTAATTAAAAATTGCAAAGGAACATTCTACAGGAAAAAAAGGGAAATAACATTTCCCTGCATGAAACAAGATAATTGTTTGCTACTCAAATTGCAGTTTGTAACTTGAAAAATGAAAAAAAATGCAGAGCAGAACTACTGTTTTTAAACAGCTTTGGAGTTACTATTAATTCTAGGGTCTCTCTTAATAAAGTGGAAAGATGTTAAAGTGGAAGTGATAGACGGGGCAGGCAGCGAGAGGAGAGATGAACACTATTAGGAATCTAGATGATCTAAATAGTGCTGGAAAGTTAAGAAATTTTTCTTCAGTTAAATCCACAAGGGAATTCAGATTTCCAACAAATTGGCTAGTCACCAAAAGGTGAGATAAAAGGTGTTCTGTTATCCTACTGCAACTCACAACACACTAAACAGTACAAAAGGGACCATAAGACGACATGTAGCAGACTTGCAGCCTCGACAGCAATGCAACAGCATTTAAGTAGTGTTGAGTATCTGGAGTAAGAAAAGTAACATGAAGTCAAAAATGAGGCTGTCACCTTCTTAATTTTTTTACCATTGTAGTGAATATGCGTTGCACAAGGAGTAATAAGCTACTCTCGAAGACTGGATTAGTAGACATCAGATGAACAGACACTTTAAGAATATTTTACACAGCAGTATTTAATTAAAACACCCCACCTATTCATGAACCAATAATGTATTACTTTAAGTTATGCACATAATAGGATCCAACCTCATTACTCTAGGATTGTACATCAAAGAGTCAGACTTTCATCTGCATTCTAGTCCAGAGATAATTTTCATCAACTGAAGGGGGCCTCAACCATGAGTTGTAGCTGAGGTACCACACACACAGCAATGCTGTGGCAAGAAAGAGGACTTATGTTCTGTCTTCAGTCTGAAGCTGATCCCCAATGTAAAAATCTAGTTATTCTTTTTTACTGCCAGAGAATAGGAGACATTCTATACAGTACAAGAATTGAGACCTCTGGCAAACCAGAGAAGCAATGGACCCACCACTCTGGAAGGACTCTTAACAGTCAAGAACAGATAATAGAGAGTTAACTATTTTTTTTTTTTCAATGAGAAAGAAAGAGCAAACATTATTTGATTTCTTGCCTCTAGATATGTTAAACTGACTCTCAGTTTTCACTTTATAAAACAGAGCCCTTGACAATTATTAATCCCTTTCCTCCCTTTTTATTTTTTCAGGTAAAACAATATGCAAAGCAATACCCTTACTAAAGCAAAAGGCTTGAAAGCCTTCTATAATTTGACACTTCAGTTACACTTAATGCTTTCCCAATGACATTCTTCTTCATCTATCAGAATTTCTAATTTAATACAGCTTCTCAAATTAATCATCATCTTGTATTAATGAATTTCACATCTTCAGTGACAAATGAGCTAAAACTTTTGGTGTTTGTGAGGAACTAAATACCACAACAATGCTTTTGTTCAATATTTACCCTGATATTCCGATGTCCACCTGAATGGTCTGGAAATAATAGAATAGCTACCTTCTGTAGTGACTAATTTAGCAGTTCACCCTGGAGTCCCTCCAAACTAATTTTAATAGGAAAAATGGTGAATTCACAGCTTTGAAACACAACAGAACGTTGGCAAAAATTAAGTTAGAATTATTCACTTAAGTTGTGTTAACTATTTCCACAGCTTAATGTAGAAAGCTTAAGCTTTCAGTCAAACTGTTAAATAATATTGTCCTCACCATATCATGTACATAACTTAAAAACTATCATCATGAATACCAGTAGCATCTTAAATATGTGTGCCATGCGCTGTTTCTTTAAAGAATCAAATTACATTTACGGTAATCTCAGAACAAACAAATTATTTTGCTTCATATATACAGCTGAAAAGAGTGGGAATAAGCGTTAGACTTGTTCTTGATCTGGGTTTATGGGCTTCTTGTACTTGCAGTACAAGAAGGAAGATATTCTGTACCCAGTCAACCAAGAAGCAATGTGACATTTCACCAGAATCAAGATATAATAGTTTCTAAGCTTGATGATGATGATGATGATTTATAAAAGCTATAATTAAATACCTGTCATATATTAGCCCATGAACACCATATTCTCTCAACTTCTTCCTGTTGTCTGGGTCATTTGCATCATCACCCCACGAAAAAATAACTAAGCCCTCAGATATGGCCCTTTTAATAAATGATGGATTCCTCAGCAGATCTTCGGAATGCACATTAATTCCCTGAAATACAAAAGACTTCAATTAAAATGCATGTTTCTGAAACATATCAGTTTTTTTAATCTTTGACACAGCTCCTTATGATTTCATCCATAATAATAAAAAATAATTTATCCAATTAGAGAGCTTATTGATAGTGCTATTTTTAAAACACTGTATTAGACATTTGAAACAATGGACATTATTTTGGCAGTTACCCAACTTTATCATATTTCTTTTATGAGGTTAGTTGTAATTTTAAGTGTTTGTGTGAAAAATGAGAGATTTAAAAGAAGTAGTAATAATTTAGTTTCATTTTACCACAGAGTAGTACCAGAACTTGTCAGCTTACCAGCAAGTTTTCAAACTGTGCAAAAGTAATGGCAATTGGAGTTGTGCGAGATCTAAGATCCATAAGCTCTGGGTAGAGTTTGGATTCTCCTTGGGTGAGAAATAACACAGGATACTTGTTTTGCTTATGCCGAATCCTGTTAGAAAAAAAAAAGTTCACAAGTAGGAAATGAAAAAATAAAAAGCAGGGGAATTCAATCTTACTGTTTTGAGTGGAATTCCTCTCTCTGCTGCATGTTCTTCTAGTTCCTAGCTGGTGCAACGAAATGGTACTACAGTTTAGCATCAAACTGAGTGACAAACTGCTCAAATTATTTATTTCTTTTCTCATTATGAGAGATTAACACACAGTTTAAGGGAAGCTTGACTGCATGTTGAACTCAGACCCACATCCTCAAAATGTTTATATAAAATCCTTGAAGGCTGTTTAATTCTGTAATTTTCTTCTTAAATGCAGGTTAGAGTAATAGGAAGATCCATGATAAGAATTTCTAAACATGGTTAATATCAAGAACCTAACCTTACTAATGTATTTTTCAACTTAGATACCAGTACAGTGGTATGAAATGACAACAGATGGAAGCAAAATTTTGATATTGCCATATTCTTACACACTTGCTTCTTAACCCTTTTATCAGTACCTTGACTTGGTTTTGCCTTGCCCATTGACTCTTCAATGGTATTTCATCAGTGCAGCATCAAACAAAGCCTTTCATTAACAGTGCTGAAGCACTTCTGGTTACCAAGTACTGCAGCACAGTTTTAGTTCCTGTGTATCCCAACTGTTTGTTCACCAGTTCAACTCCTATGCTTTTTCTGTGCCCCAATACCTTCAATATGACATTCCACAAAAGCAAAGTAAACCACTTAACAAAAACCACAAAGAAAACCTAAACCAAACATGGGCAACACAAAGTTCTTTTGTTTTCTGTCCTTTCAAAAAGGCAGATACAGTGAAAAATTGTAACAAGATGATTTGGTTTTTAAGTTGGGCTTGCATACCCCTGGAGCATGACTAAAAAAAGACTTTGGGATACCAGAAGAAACCTTGACCTTTTTTGTTGTGTCAAGAAAGAGTGAAGCATTCAGGAAGGCACTTGACAAAAATATCTACTGTGACTTTGTTCTCCTATTTGATTTTGGAGTCATTTCTGATGAAAGTGGTCTCGTTTCAGTTCCCAACTATTTTGGGACGTAACTCAAAGTTTACGTCTAAGCAAAACAAATTGTTATTTGTTCCTGTTGGGTATTCTTATGTACAGAGTAAATTTTACAAAAAAAAAAAAGAGAAAAAGAAAATACATAATTTATCTTCTTAACTTACATTGTACAAACATCTGCATGAAAAGAAGAAAATACAATTCTTCTTCTTCCAGCATTCATCAAAACAGTTTTTAGAATAATATCTAGAAAAAGGTTCATATCAAAGTAAGTTGACAAGTTGCCATCCCACTGTCCATCCTAGAAAAAGAAAGAACAAGCTTCAGCCATTTAAATTAACGGTTACTGAAATTATTTTAACCAGCAATGGTCTTTCATTCTACCTGAGCAAAATGAAAATTCAGTTTGCCAGTCCAAATACAGAAATCAACCCTTCAGTCTGTTGAATGTTAGTTACAGCTCTACAGGACTGACAGTCTGAGAGGCAGCTGAATTCTCACAGCAATAAGATTCAGTGAAAAATTCACTGTCTCCCTGTCCAAGGAAAACATTTCTAGGGAGCCTATTCTAATTTTGAAAATGCAAAGGATTTCCCTGAAATGTAAAGGAATTCCCTGACAGACCACCAAAACCTACAGCAGATATTCTCTATTGTTATTTCTAAATAAACACAATCCTGTGCAATGCTTGAGCTTGGACCAGGTGACCCACTGTGGTCCCTTCCAACCTGACCCACTCTGTGATTCTGTGGAACACACAAATTCAGTGGTAAGATTTGTGGAAATGAGATATTCTTTGAGAATAGCAAGTACCAGTCTTCCTGCAGCTGACCTGTCTCTGAGAGCACTATTAGCATGTCTCCATGCATATGGGCTTGCACCTATCACTCTTCTTAGTTTCCTTCCCCCACTCCAGGCTTCCAGTCCTAGCCTTTTTTTCCTTCTAGACTGAACACTAAACAATCCAGCTGAGTCTGCAACACTGCTGACTAGAAGGAAACAATTGCTTGTGTTACTGCACCTTGTCAAATTACAAGCTTTAGCTGTCAGAGAATTAAAGTAAATCACAGGTACATTTATTTACCCTTTGCTGGGAGATCCATTTTATTTCTATGTTGAACCCAACATCTTCAGAAACAGACTCCAGGACCTGAAAAAAAATTCATTATGAAAAGACCCCACAGTAAAGGAGGACAACAAAGCATTGTGAAGGTAATTTTTGGGAGAATACACTGGAATTTAGTGCCAATGGTGTCTAACAGTAAAACTACCCCCCCCCCCAGTTTTTAACATTTAACACAAGATAAATATACACCCTTTTTTACTCCAATTTCAACTTAATAAATGCATACAAATGGTTAAAATCTTAAGGACAAAATTTTGACAAGGCACAAATGCAAGTCAATTCACCTTAACACGTATAAGAAATGCCCCATTTGTACTCCTGAAGAAAAAATGGGTTTTATTTCTCCAGAAATATATATAAACACATAGTCCTAAGTAAGAAATCCATGAGCTTGCCATTACAATGAAGATGATGAGAACAAAAGTTCTTTCATGTGAAATTCTTGTAAAGAACTATTTGTAAGGTGCCTTCAAATCAAAGGTGAAGCTCACACAAACAGTTATGAATGAGGACATATTTCTCTGTGGCTGGCTCTGCTAGATGGCCAATACTATGTGATGAACTGCCTAAGGCCAGGTGGTTGGTTTTTTTCAACATTAGAAACAATTATCAATGCATTAAAATGCAATGCCCCTGTGTACCCTGAGCTATGCAACTTGGGTTCATGAATTAAGAAGCTTGAAATACCTGCAAACTACTACTTTTAAGCACTGAAAAGCTTCCAGTGGCCAACACTGAAGCCCATATTCTCAGTTCCAGCACTGATATCAGAGACCTAAAGCCAAAAATTAATATCCCTTGTGTGCAAAGCTGAAAGTAAAACACATACCTTCATGTTCCACAATCATCATTATCATCTATATTCTTTGTATATAACCCTTATATTATATATAAGGTTTGCTTACTCTTTGCAGTGAAGGAAATGGCTGGGTCTCAAAAGCAGAGTTTTCTTCCTCTTGAAAAGATGCTGGAAAGAAATACAAAATACTGAATCAAAACAAACAGCAGCATAATCCCAGTAATCCCAGCAAGAAAAGGCTGGCTCAAACTTGTAAGGCTTTTAGGAGTGAAGAATGAATCAGGTCTACCTTTTGATTACCTACGCCTTCCCTCTAACACTGACATACTCCAGCGATGGTGTTGGCAATTCCTGTTTTGCCGGTGGGAAAAGTTTTTTGACAATCATTTAAAAACTCGCCATAATATTGATCGGAAATGGCTTCTCCCATCCCTCACCACTTCACTCACTGAATCACATCCAGTAGAAGCAGCCTTGCCTATCAAGGCTTATTTATTTTATCTTTTCCTAGACTGGAGGATGTGTGATGTACTTTGACCATCTGCTGTCCCTATAAAGGGGATGAATTAAGGCCAAAAACTACTCCACCTATAAGACACTCTACAGCAGTTACCAAAGTTCTTGCTGGCAATTCTGAAGAGCTGAAGTTAGAGAAGTCTAAGATGAAACATTAGTGGCAACTTTGTTATGTTTATTCATAAATATAGATTGATCTATACATGCACCTTCCACATTCCTGTCCCCTCTTCTCAAGGGAATAACTTCTGTTCAGGTATTTACTTCCCAGCAAAGAACTCCACAGCATGCACAGAATTAACTACATAAGCATTTAGAAGTGTTCAGGAAGATGACAAATGTGATTAGAACAAGCAACAGTAGCCACAGAATATGTATAAATACATGGTAATGAATCAATCTCAAGACTCTTCCAAACTCGTACGTACCGTTCTGATCTTTTACTTTCAGGGCAGTCACGTGAGCCAGCTGAAGAACATAAGAGTAACATTAGCAAACACCCTACCCATAGAGATCTTCCTACATGCAAAATGTAACCAAATTTCCTTATAAATTAGTTTTTAAGTTTAAAGGTCCGTTATAGACACAGTTTTAGTAATCTGCAAAAGAACAAAGGACATCCTAGTACACATCACAATTTCCTTTCAAAGTTTGTTTTAAAGATTTCAAGGAAAACATGCTTACTGAAAATGGAAAGAACATGTTCAAGGGTAAAAGCACACATAGTATAATTCAACAGCAAGATGTGAAGAGGTCTGAGCATTAATCTCTCCTCTATGTTTAATCCAGTGCAGAGGGCTGACCAGTTTTATAACATAGTCACATACTGAGACAGAATCAAGCCAGACACAGGACCAACTCTCTCGCTCTATTCAAATTCCCTCTCCACAAAAAGGAGCAGAGCTAGTAATTTTAAGTAAAAATGATCATATAGTTCTTGGATCAGCCAGATGCTTTCCTTGAGTGATGACAGGTATCTCAGTGGGGTCTTTAGTGGCCCAGTCTCATCCCCCAACTCCCCTTTGAGTCAGACAGGGCACTTCTGCTCAGAAGGTACAGTAGTTCAACACAATCCCTCCAACATTTGAAAATTAGACAGACTTCAGGACAGATATTTTTCTTCACAGACTTCAAAGCATTGGCTTTCAATGAACCCCACCTTCAATTTCAACCTTCCTTATTTTTTAAAAATTATCATTGTTAGCATAATGATGTGGATCTACACAAGCTGTCAGACCACCTTTCTAGAAGATGCAAGTAATGAAATTTATTCAAGTTGTAACCATGCTGCAAAAGTATTTTTCTTGGAATTAGCTAATTGTTCTATTCACACAATTTTTAGAACTGTGCTGCCCCAAACTGTCTTTAGTTACTGCCAAAAACTCTAAGCTTCATACACAATTCGAAATTCTAAACATAGTATATTGTACTAGCCAAAGTAACAATACCTTCAATAACTGCAGCTGATCAAATGTAAGTTCTTTGACTGCAATCTCAAACAGTTCCAAAGGCTCTGTATCCAGTTTCTTTGAAGAGAAACAATACATAATTAAGCATAACTGAAAACTACAAAAAAAGCCTACATGCTTTTAATATGGTAACATTAAAGGTAACTATTTTTTTCCTCTTTTATTGATAAAGACACAAGTTATATCTTAATAAGATGATCAGTTTTCAGGAGACAACACAGTCACTTAAAATCATAGAACAGGTGTCCATTTGAAAAAAAACAGGATTTGTTTCACACAAGTCAGAGGCTTAAAAGTTCTTTCTTCACAAAAAGTTAGTATATTTATTCTATAAAAACTTGATTGGTTAATCAGGAAAAAGGTCTGCAAGTAAAGAAATACAGTAAAAAATACTCCAAGGCAGTTTACTACTGTCTATCCAATGTCACAGAAACTAATAAAAAAAGACAAATGTCCTGGGGTAAAATTGAGACACACCCTGCTCCCAAAACAAAGATCTGGTGTCAAAAAAATTTTGTCCATTTCTCACGTCCCCTCTTCACCATAGAAAATTTTACTGAGCAAGACAGTAGTGATTGAAGATACACTGAATATCCACTTCCCTTAGAAAAGTTCAATTTCCACAACTGTTCAAAACCAAACTTTTTTTAATTTGCAATATTGCAAAGGGTATGAGAGTTTGATGACACAAGACTTAGTGCCAAGAAGACAGGACAGTCTGCTCATAGAACCTCTGTTTTAGCTCCTTTTCTTCTGATCCACTGAGCAATCCAAGAGTTTGTCAGCCTCACTTACACTTGAGACATGAAATATATTGTTTGCCTCACAGTTAAGGAACAGAGCAAAATGCTGAAGTTAAAAAGGGTTAAAGAAAGAGTTAAAAAAAATAATGGAAGTCAGGCCATTTTTGGCTAATCAAACTCCCTAAATGAAGGAGATCCTTGTTTCTTCCATTTTTCTGCTGTCCATCTACTGGGATCCAAACAAAGCAGACTTTGGTTTGACCTAAAGAGTTATGAGTACATAACTACTTAAGACAAGTAAACATTTAAGTGTCAGTAAGAGTGAGAAGTCATGCTGAGAATCACACTAACTCTCCCTCAAAAAGAAACAAGCAGAAGTTGTTTTAGACTGCTCTGGCAGTCTAAAACAGTCCCCCAGGCACTACTGAATATAGTGGAGTTGCCTGCTTTTTTCTTTCATATCTTAAATTTAAAAGAAAGCTAAATGATAACTACAATGTTGGCTTGAGGAGTGCCAAAAAAACAGTGCATCTCAAAAGCTCTTTCTACAATATCGAAAGGAAAAACTCAACTTCCCTGCTCTACTTCATGCACAGAGTAATGCTGCATATATATTCCCATTCCATCCTTTGAGTCCCCAGAATTATATCTATGAGAGCTTGGCATATCAGTTTCTGGAATGGTCATACTTATAAATAAAATACAAATGTCATCCTCTTTACCTTTTTCATGGCCATGCAACATGTGAGATCGTGGTATACAATAGGCACATGATCTTTAGAAAGATGTACATCAAATTCCACATATGCTGCTCCCTACAGAAAATTGAAAAACACACAGAACAAAACAAAAAAAACATTAACTACTTATGCACAAGGACTACAGAACTGCACACAAGTTGTCCAGTATTTACAGGTCTTGGATATCACACAGAAGTTGAATTCAAGTCGCTGTTACCAGTTAAGTTATGGTCAGCAACAGATTAAAAATGAAAAAAAATTCATATGGGAAAGTATTTTAGTTACCATAATGCAGCTCTCTCTCTCTCTCTCTCTCTATATATATATATATCTCTTGCTCAATCTTGTAAACCCTCTAGTAAGATTCAAGTATTGTAAACCTGGTTTCAGAGAAAGGCTAAGATGATATTTTTAAATACAGATGTTTAAAACATACATGCCTTTGCGGTGTCCTTCCTCCCTCCTCTCCACCACCCCACCAAGAGGCAAGGGATGGCTACATATTGCAAAGCTTTAGGGAGACATTCCATATAGCAACGAGCTTCTGGAGTCACTAGTGAGTAACACAGCAGAAGTGTTTTATATGTGCAAGAGCAGAAATACTGCATCCAGTATTCTCCTGTCCTTTTCAGCTGTATGTTATTTTCTGTTGAGCTTAAAAAAGAGGGAAGAAAGATCCAAGAGCTCTAAGTACAATCTTTTTGAAAAGAGGGAGGGCCAGAAAGAAAGAGAAACAGTAAAAAGGTTTGAGGTTTTTACTTATTTTGACTGTCTGCAAATCATTCCTTTGAAAGGCCTCCAAGAATGCCATTCATCAAATTACCATCCTGACTCACACTTTTCCAATGAGTTCACAGAGAAAACAGGACAGGCTTTTTTCAGCACTTTTCTCAGCAAAAATATTTTTAGAGCAGTGGCTTTCAGCCTTCTCAATCTGCAAATAGTTGAAAGCTCTTTTCTGGTGATGCTGCTGCTGACTTCATAGTAAATCTCCGCCTCAACGCACATTTCTTGTGGGCTTTTTAAAACCTGTCTATAAACCTTCAGTGTCCCACCCAGAAATTAGGAACCACTGTTCAAAACAATTTAGTAGCTACAGTTTTCTTTTGGTCTGCAGTCAGCGCACGTTCCAGTCACTGTGTTCAAATTATACTCTGTCTTCAAAAGAAGAGAAAGCTTTCAGCTGTGACTCTTGGGGAGTACTCCAGAACCAGTAGCCAACTCCAGATTCTGCTCCCATCCTTTAACAAACTTCAAAAGATGTTTTGCAAGAACCTGTATTAATACCACTAAGGTATAAAGGCTTAGGAAAGAGAAATTAAGCAGCATGTGACTGTGAAAACAAGAGTCCAAGAACCTCTGAATGTACTTCTGTCTCCAGCTACTCTGCTGCACTAGACTGTCTAGATCATTCTTGTCACAGAACACTTCAGTGATCAAGATTACTGGAAGGAATAAAAGTGACCACTTCCATCACAGAGTTTAGGCACATGAAGCTAGTGATTGAAAGCCTTCTCTTAGAGTTTCAAGTCTTCACTGTAGCAAGCACCGAAACAAAGGACTGTTTTATTCTATCAGCTCAGCTCCCAGGTCACATTTTCAGACACCAAGTTTTGTTACACAGCAGTCTCTGAGCGAGACATTTGGCACCTGAGAGTTATGCTGACAGACTCTAGCAATGCCAAAATTTTATTCATTTGTTCAAATTTATTCCAACCCTATGTCTCTACAGGGTTGAGATTAAAATTCTCTCTGCATTAGAACATATTAAATGGAAGAAGTTTTGATTTTTTTTTATGAACTTGAAAATAAGAGTCTAACCTAGGTATTACTTCCCACTACTCAGGGAACTTCCACAGTGATTTGACATAGTTTAACATCAGTGCAATTACCATTCACTGTAGTGAATCATGGAAATTAAGCATACAAGCCAACCTAGTTTAAACTACAGGTACTATACGTGTGAAAATGTGTGTACATACATGACTAGCAGCATTCCTCAGAGAGGCAATGGTGTTCTCTTGAACTTTAGCAAGTCTGAAATAACAGCAAAGAAAAAGGTGTTGTTAGATGCAGCATAGCACAGAAGTCCATGGAAACAACAGAAATACAAATCAGAAGTTTTTGTTTTGGAGAACACTCACACTTCATACTGAAGTGACTTGAACAACCATGGGCTGCAGCTTTTTTAAGTGTCCGCTTCCTGATGTCAGTGAAATGAAACATAATTGCCCCAGATTAAAATACAAACAAACTTACTTAGCTGTTGTTGTAGAGTTTCCTGCTCCCCTGTGTCCAACATCTAGAGTTGTTCTTGGTTTCCAATATTTTGCATATGAAGCCTTCATATCACAAGTGTATCCCTGGATTGGTTTAATAACTATGTAGTCCACTACAAGAAAAACACCAATACTTTCAATGTCAATAGATAATGGATCACTTCAAGTAAAGTTATCAACACCTGTTGTTTGCATCAGCTGTACCTCTAACTTTTCCAATTGTCTTCCTTGGATTTCTGCTCATAATAGCAAGCGTAATAATTCCAGCACTCTTCCCAAGTTCTTCAATTGTGGATGACAGGAGGCAGGCAGAACCTACATGGCCTGGGAGCGCATCGCCTTGTACTACTTTCTCACCTAAATTTTCCTAAAAATGAAAAAAAAAAAAAAAAAAAAAAAAAAAAAAAAAAAAAAAATTACTGTTATATATGTAGGTGAGAATTCTAAACAAACTCTTCTTCCTTGCTCCTCAGGAAGATACAAACAGGCACTGATGTAACAAGTTTGTTGTGCATTCAGAAAACTCTAATTTCAGGCTGAAATTGTTTAACCTAAGTGTGTTGCAAATTACTATCAGTAACGTGAAAATCTTGATGGAAATCTAAAAAACTCACAATTGTCTTTGAAAACTTAGATTTGACAAGCTTTTCAGGTCAAAACTGCATGCGTGAAATAGTCTGTCTTCTAAAAAGCCCAAGTCATATTTAGAACAAAAATTAACTGGAATAACATACATGCTAAAAATAACTTTGTATACATTTCCAGGGAAGGAGGAAGGCAACTAATATGCAGAACGTGCACTTGACCATAGTCAAGGAACTATGTAGACACTTTACAATTTTAAGTGTAAGTGATCTTAAGGGCATTTTCAGACCAAAGAGAGAATGCTTAAAACTTTCTTCTGCATACACAGTATGAAGAGATAAAAAGTTGTTTTCTTTTAAAATGACTATGAATATTAGGATCTTTCAGGGAGAAAAACAGAGTGCAAAATAACAGATAGAGTAATGAGAATCCAGTTTTAATTTGCACTGGTTAGTTCAGCAAAATCTCCTCTGCTTATAACATAAAAATTTAGATTAAATAATTGTGATATAACTAGTTCATATACACATTGTTCAGCATCAAGCAGGAGATGCAAAACTTAGCTCTGGTAAAGGATAAATATCAAATTAACCTAACTACAATACCACACACAGAGATTTGAGTCTAATTTGTACTGACATCTAAATAATCAGAACTGAAGAACTTTCTGTGCCACATCAAGGAGACTCACAAAACCTTTCTGCAAAATGGGCTGTGAGCCAATAGCCTCATACTTGTGTAAACAAATCCAGAAGATCCAAGAATATCAGGCAGTGGCCCTGTTTCAACAGTGAAATCTTTACAGTAATTCAATCTAATTCTCAAAGGCAGACTGGAGCTGCTTCCTAGGGGTAAACAGACGTACCTCAAAAAAATCAAAGATTAATTCCAAGTTATCAGGTTCCATGGTTTGTATTGTGTATTCTATCCATCGGTCTGGCTGCAGAGCATAACCACAGTCTGGCTGAGTGTGTCGACATTTATAGTCATTATTACTTATTAAGGAGAACTCCACAGTGTTTGCCATTTTCTGAGGTACAGTAGGGGATGTTTTCTCTTGGCCCTCTTCATCATCTTCATCTTCCTCTAGGCCTTCTAGGGTCAATTTTACTCTGTTCAACCAGATATATGAAACAAATGGTTAAGTCACAGAAGTGTCCTTGAAAATGATATAGAATTAGAAAGAAGCTTGAGCAGAAGCTCATACAACAGAAGAAGAATTCTCAACTCCACTATCTGCAGGACAGCACTACATGCAGTGGGCCTTCATAAGAGTCAAGAGTTTGTAGCCATTGCCTAAATCATACTTTAGTCAGATTTAAGTGCTCAAGTCACTACTAAAACTTGAGCTTGGATAAATATGAAAATTGTACTAAATGGTCTGAGAAGCAGCACTTCACCAAACTATTTGGGCTGCCAAATAAACAGCCTTCTTCCACAGACTGATACCCATAATGCCAAAAGGCTAATGAAAAGCACTGAAAACAGCAGTAATCATCAACATCAGGACTTGAACGTTGGTGGCTGCTGTTAAGCACACACACAACTTTATGTCTCTATGAACAGTGATAAGGCAGATAAGTACACTCTATTAGACACAAGTAATATATTCTGAAGTAATTAAGTCCCTTGAGAAATCCTAAATGATCATTTAAGCTGAATGCAATTTCTGAAAAATCCTGGACTGAGAGGAATGAACCTCTCTATAAGATTCAGAATTCTTCATTATGCAGAGCAAACCTTCCACACAAAGTGAATTATCTCAGTGACATAAGCTATAACAAGCAAGGAAAAAAGACAAAGCTCTGGAGAGCACACTGTAAGTATTAATTCTTAATTAAACTTCCCATTCATCAGAAGTTGGAATTGGTGGGAGGGGGAATCAAAACTGGAAAAAAAACATTAAGAAATCAAGTATCACAGAATCATCAAATGGTTTGGGTTGGAAAGGACCTTAAAGATCATCCAGTTTCAACCCATTGCCATAGGCAGGGACACCTTCAGAGAATTATGAAGGAACACTGTAGTTCCAGCCAAAAAGCAAGAAACACAAAGACAAGCATGGATTAAGTATTTGTGCTGAAATACTTCGAAAGTAGCCTGACAGTACACCCCTATCAGCAACCCAAAATTAATTTAAAGGCTATATTAATTAAGTAAAGAAGAAACAGTAGTATTGACAATTAACATTAGGTAAATTGCATATTGAGATGAGCAGGCTCTTACCTAAACCTCGATGTTTTAAATTTCTTCTTAGATATCAGTACAGGTGGTTTTTCAGAATAATGCAGACGTAATCTTATTTCTGTTTGACATGTCAGCCACCCAGCATCCACAGTTTCAATACCATCTATCAAAAATCAAACAAAAGTAGTAGACACTTTAGTAACTTATTTTAGGGAGATCTAGACAGTTGAATATACAAACATATAAATATAGTTCCTCTAATATCATCTTCCAGACAATCCTCCTCATCACTAGCTTATCCTACAGTATTTCAAGAGCAATTGTTGAGTGCATCCTTTCACCAGTGTTTCTAAACTACCCAGAACAGAAAACAGATACTGCACCTCTAAGGGTATTAAACAGAAACAATGATCATGTGCACACTGTCTGCAGGAGAGCACTAAGTATTCCAGTGTTAATTTTACATATGCTATCAAGGGCTAAATTAAGCCTCCAAAGACAAACATAACATTCCTTTGTCCTGAGATCTCTCAATACACGGAATAACACTGGAACTCTGAAGATTCATAAGCAATTAGAGGCTCCCTGTTTCTGTTGAGATACAGGTGTCAAATTAGCTCATCAAAATCAATGCCAGTAAAGCTGTGTAAGTCTGCAGGACAGGGTATAGCAACAGTTTTGATGGGGAAACAAAGCATGGAGGAGAACCCTCAACCTCACCATCAGGACAAGGAAAAGCCCTACAAGCAGCATGACCAGCAAGCCACAAGCCACCACACCAGGTGCTGAAGCAGATCCCACAGTTTTGAAGAGTTCCTAGCTAAACCTATGGTTTGATGAGGATAAGAGGAAAAAGGGAAAAGCTTTAAGACAAGATGTATAAGAGATGATAAAGAGTTACCTTAAGTGTCACAGGATTGAAAAAGAGGTGAGTCAGAACTGCCAGAGGTGAGACATATATGCACACATGAACACAAGGTCTGGGCTGATAAAAGCCTTTTGCCAGTTACATGTCTAACTGAGGGGGCAGACTGTGTACATTTAGTGCAAGTGATAATGTCTTTCTAGGCATGAAGAGTTTTTCTAAGGTGGGTATTCAGAGAAAGCTAAGTCTATTCTGTATTTCCAAAAATACATTCTCATGACTTAAAATTTGCAAATTTCAACCTTTAACACCATCAGAGTGACAACATTTCAACTCTTCTCAGCAGTCTTTTATTAACAGTAGAAGGGATTAGAGCCTGTATAACTGTATAAGCAGAGAAACAATCACAGACAAATCTTAAAACTTATGATTTCAAATATTTTTCAATTACGAGACTTAATCTTGTTTAAATTAAATTTATGGTAAAGAGTAAAGGTCAATATGTCTCACTTACTATGGATTCCAAAGAAACCATCGTCAACAGTAATTTCATCTTCTAGAATTAAAGGAGGGGAAAAGAATAAAAAAATCTAATTAGTATTCACATTTTAAAAAATCATTGCCAAGTTAAATTCATTCTACTTTTCCACCGCACTTCTAAAAAGTGTATCTAAAAAAGGCAAGAAAACTGAAACGGACAAAGAAGCATGTTTTTTGCAACCTTCTATAAAGATTTATCCCAACTTAGGCTTTTTCTTAGTTTCTGCAAAAAAAAAAAAACAGTCCACACACAGAATGCCACATTTTACCTAAAGTAATCTGAACTGAGAAGAGCAAGAAGGTTGCATAATTTTCTGGTTTGCTGCAGTATTTTGCTGATATCTACATCTTACTAGTATCTAAGATGCTTTATTTGCCAAAGTAATGCCAAGGACATTAAAGTTTCTTGCAAACATACAAGAAAGTTATCCTCCTGCACATTTATACTTCAAGCTGTTAAATCAAGTTAGTCATGATTAAAATGCTTATTCTGCCCATGTGACAGAAACCAGCCTAGCATGAAATATTCAAAACACTCAGGTCACACTTACTTTTATCCTTATCCTTTCCAAAGCTTTAATAACTGAAATCTTAAGGCACTAAGTAAATTCACCAGCATTAACAGAACTGCAGTAGTCTAAACAAACCACACATTTCTCAAATATAAATCTTCACAAATTTTTGCCTCTATAGCAATTAATCCCTTTTTTTTTCCCCTAAGAAGAATCATAGGCCTGACCTCATTTTTTAATAACCACGGCCAACAATTTAAGATCATAATGACCCAGTACTAACATACTGGGTTTGCTGCATTTTCTTAAAGATGAAGCATTGAGTACTACTTCCAAAAAAAAAATACTCCTAACTATTTGGAATGAGATCATCTAAATTTAGAGAAAGTCTAGACCCTAGCAGAGGATAGGCTGCTTCCCTTGTCAGTTACTGACAAATATAGAAACAATCTTGCAGGAATAGAAAACCAACTAATTCAACTGAAATAAAAAGCAAAAAGAGGAGCAGGGGCAGGAACATGGTCATGGTTGTGGCCAGGTGGGGGTTGGTCTCTTATCCCAGGCAGCTACCAGAAAGACAAGAGGGCATGATCTTAAGCTCTGCCAGGGGAGGTTTAGGTTGGATATTAGGAAGAAATTCTTTACAGAGAGGGTAATCAGGCATTGGAATGGGCTGCCCAGGGAAGTGGTGCATTCTCCGTCCCCGGAGGTTTTTAAGATGAGACTGGAGGTGGCATCAGTGCCATGGTCTGGTAACCACGGCGGTGTTGGATCAAGGGTTGGACTTGATGATCTCAGAGGTCCTTTCCAACCTGGCTGATTCTATGATTCTATGGTACTATTCATGATTAACAAACAGTTTCTTCAATACCACCTTCTTTCTAAAAGACATTATTTCAAATCATTAAGTTTTTAATAGATGTGAACTCCTAAACGTGGAGGAAATATTTTTCATATCCTGGAAAACACATTGCATAAAATGTGCCATCCCATAGCAGCAAGAGAGATCTAAACTACGAGCTCCTTTCAAAGGTTATTTCAGTCTCTCTTACAACTCCAGTTGTTTCCCTGTTCAGAAAAGCATTAGTAACTTCAAGTCTGCATGCCATCTTTTCTTCCAGCAAAATACATTTCCTCTAAATTGCCAGGTAAATAAGTCCACTCATGTTTCTGTTTACATTAATCCATTTACTTAAGGAAGCCTTATTAAAAATTTTTGGTTTAAAGTTTTACTAATTAAATAGTACTTAAACAAAACCAGCAGTGACTTCATACCCTCCCCCCCATTTTCTCTAAAAAACATAATATGGATCCTTAGTCTCAAAGAATTAAACTTACAGAAAATTATTACAATTCCAAATTAATAAAAGAACAACCCACATAATCTTAAGGATGACAGCAAAGAATTTCAAATCCACTCCATTTTTAAGCCACTTACGTATACTTACATTTTGAGAGTAAGGCCCATGTTGTGCAAAGAAAAAGTCTATACCTCCCACAACATTAATAAATTTAAATATTTTAAAACTATAGTTATCAATCCCTCTAAACCAGTGTGCAGCATATTAGTAATCTTATGCATATGCCTCAAACAGATGCAGTTGATGCCCATACCTAAAGGGGTAATTGATCGTGGTTGCAGATGAGTCTCCCACGTGTGAACTATGACTTCGCAGGGACCATCGATAGTCTGTAATTTAAAAGTTAAATGTCTGCAATAATTTTTTTTTTTTGTTATATCTGATTTTCTACCCATGAACCTGTTTGGGATGGTCATGAACTCAGCTTAGAGATTTAAGGAAGAAAAAGAGGAAGGAGAAGAAAGAGAGGGGAAAGGAGACAGAGAACGAAAGAGAAAGAAAGAAAACAGATCAGGATTCTTGTCCCTGCAACTACTGATGGCACTACCTGATGTGTTGCATTTACACATGAGAAAACTTGTGACAGTGTGACATGTTGGAGAAGTTACAAGGAATTATTAAATCTTTACTGCTTACAGCTACTCCACTGGACTACTTTAGTGTCTCTGAACTCATTAAGAGTGCTTGCTTTTTTCTGAAGATACTACACCAACAGCTTATGAAAAAACATACCCCACATCTATAATTCCAAACAGCATTCAGCATCTACTCATGCAGGTAGCAGTTGCAGGGGTAGGTTCTCCTTCAAAATTTGCCTGACTAATTCAAAGTCTATAAGACACCGTTATTTCAGTTGTGGTACAGAAGAACAAATTATTTAGCATCTAATTAAAACATAAATACTTGATCCAATCAGCCAGCAATGAAGCCCCTGCAGTCTATTCCAGTTGGAGCAAGATAAATTAGATTCTTTCATTAAAAAAAAAAAAAATTACTGTCCACCAGAAGAGTACATTTGTTGACAAACATAGCCAAGAAGACTCAGACAGATAACCAGAACAGTAACTGAATCTCGTCTTTCAGAACAATTTACATTTGAAAAAGCTTTCCAGGTTGAAGCTTAACAGAAAGAACACGCCTGATTCCCAGCTCAGTCACCCTAAGAAGTTTCCCTTAGCAGGGTGTGGTTGTTAGCATCAGATGTAAAAACCACTGTCAAACAGCTGCAGTTTGTCATTTTGGTGTTTGGGTCTAAGTAACTCTTGATTTCCAAAAAGACTTGCTTCTATTGCCAAAGTCTTGCAAGCTTCAACTCCAACTTACTTCAGCTTCTTGTTTAAATACATGTCAGATCCACAGGGACATCCAGACAAGCTCCAAACTCAGCAGTACAATTACAAAGTACCATAATGCTTTGTTATATTACAGCTCACCTAATAAATCCTTTACAAGCAGATGGGATTTCCTGATATATATTGAACACATTTAATCTACCACGTTTTTGAATGAGTTAACAACAAATGGCAAATAGCTAAAAAGTGCTCAGTAAAACAGGTTTACTCTGAGTCTTAGCTAAAGCAATTTTCCTAATGAGTTCAGAGGCATCCATACTTATGGGTCATGTCAGAATAAAATACATTTGCTAAAAGTTATGTTTTAAAGACAGAATCCATGTAAATGTAAATAAATAAGATGATACTGTTGCTTTCAGTATTATTCCTGTTACAGGGCAGTTTTAATTTGCATTTTCTCACAGCTGCCACAATGATCACCCTTAGGATATCTAGAAAAGTAAATGATCAGAAGTTTCTTTCCCCTTCTTTCACAGCACCTTCACACTTGCATGTTGCAATCATAGCTTCTAAGGCTGAAAACCATGTTTGCCAGCAGGGAGGCTGCCTTTTACTAACACCATGCAGGCATGCAAGCTCTCCAACAGCAACTCCCATGAACACACACAGAACTTGTAGTTTGTGAACCTGGGGAATGCAAGTCAGTCCTAACATGGATTAAGTGGTTTTCTTCAAAAGCTTTTTTTCCTTGCAAAAACCCCCAACATAGTGTATGAAAATACCAGTATCAGTTTATTTCTCACACTGCTGTAATTGTCCATTTTAATTTTAGGTTCTAAAACGATGAATGAGAATTCAAATAACATTATCCCAACAATAAGCACACCATGCTGGACACATTCAGCAAAATTTCATCTCCTGAAAGTACAGTGGACTGATTGTGCATTTAATCCCAGGAACCCTCAACACTTTCCATACTAAGAAGAGCCAAGCAAAGCTACCTGGAAAAAAAGGGCAATGGATTAGACAACAGGCACAGACATGACCAAGAACCCTCTCAATCCCTGCTCAGATTACCTCTGTATTTATAGGCATTTAACTAATGTTTTAATTACACGTAACAGAAGCCATTGTTACAATGAGGTTAAAATACTGATGTAATTTCAGTGGCATACACTGACCACATTTGAAAAGCAGCCCAGTTCAGTAGCAGGAGTAAATGATGTGTCATCAATATTCATAGCATGGTACTGTTACCCAAAAAGAGATTCTCTGCTGGGACAGTCTTACAAGGGCATCTATCCAAATATCACATCAAGCATCTCAGTGGGCAGTACACTGAGATTATATTATAGTAAGTGGCACTGTGTGGCATGGATCCTTTTCTACTAATACGGACATTTATTTTTTTTCAAAAGCAAACACAAAGATTACGTTGCTTGATTTTGATTATCCAAACACGTGGTGCAATTTTAAAGCTTTTAAAGGACACTCAAGAGTTTTCTTTAAAAATCCAGCCCTCCTACATTATGAGAAGCCAGGGCCTCCCCAATAGTCATTAGACACTTCTGAAATTAAGGGTAAAATGCTTATCTGGCATAATGTTCCAGGGGTTCAAAGCAACCTGATGCACAATCTGCATGAAGTGCTTGGGTGATCAGTATAATTAAAAAATTAAAACACACCCATGAATGTTTAAATGATAATTTAGCAGTTCAGTTCCAAAGTTCCTGATTCAAGGCAACACAACACAGTAGGCATTAGGGGGAAAAAAAAACCAAGAAAAAACAAATCTTAAAAACACCACACAAATACATTTATCCAACTGCACTTTAGTGATTAAAATAATAATCTACTTCGAGAGTATAAAACAGCTAAATTAGACTTAACTGCTGATGTTGCATTTCTGACAAAAATCTCTCTGGATTTCTGTACCATGTAAAAGACACTAATTAAGCAAAGAACTAAACAATTAACAAAGCCATTCAGCCATCATAACTGACTTAGAAGGCAACACCACCTGTAAGTCACCTGCCAGGAAGTCCTGAGCTAAACAGAGATTTTATAACTCTAGTATTTTGTAACAGTTTAACACACAATCTGCTGTCTCAGCACAGTTATGGCAGAGGTGTTCCTTTGTTATTATTAGGATAATAATGGGTTATTAATCTAGGAAAAGCAATTCTAAGGTATTCTTATATTGAAGAAATTACTGAGTCTAGGTCTAAGTTTCACCTTTGTTACTACAGTCCAGGCACTAAACAGATTTATTTACTTATATTTAAAAAAAAAGTAAATTTAACTCTCATTTGAAACATCTATAATTAAGCAGCATTCTCACAAGTGTGAAAAATATTCCCCAAACCAGTTTTTAAAGTCCTGCTACATGCAGAGATATTTTACGCTTGTCTTGAAAGAAATAACCCTAACCTTGCATGCTTATTTACTGTTGGAAAAACAAATACAGAACAGTTTAACAGAATAAGGTATGTTCCTTACTAAGGTTTTCAAATATGCCTCATGCAAATGATGCATGTAAAATTATTCTCCTAAAACATAAGATACAAAGAAGATAAATTCCAAACAAGGGCATTTTGGGGTGTCTCGCTCACACCCTTCCATATACACCCCCATCTCTGCTTCCACAACAAACAGAAGGTATGTGCAGAATAAAACATAGGAAGATGCTCACAGTGAGCTAACTGGTACCAGACTATGTTTAAGGAAAGAACAAACCTCAAGCAAAATAGTTACGGTCTTATTTCATCAAGTGTATGTATTTATCTTTCTTTTTAAATGCTTAAGGTGATTCTTCTGTTATCATCAAAACATTTACAACACAGTAATATCTCCCAATATAGAGGAGCCAAGACCTGGCACCAATTTTATAATGAAATGTTCTTTGTATATATATTATTTGTATTCATGCAAAAATTCTATTAATTTTAATATATTTTTTTTAAAACTGCTCCACTTATATAACCACAATTATGTTAACACCAACATGCTTCAATGCAAACAAACTAAACTTCCCACTACATCATACTATCCTTCAAGTATAAAAATATACAAAGAAAAAATCATGGCTATTTTTAAAAGGTGGTGAGCAAAATACTTTCCTATTTGTTTTTTTTAATAAAATGTCAATAATTCTACCTATTTTCACATTTAGTCTGTAGCAATATTATGGATCGTAATTTCTCTGTGTAAACATGTATCACCCTCATCTTTGCCACCATGTCCAACTCAAGCACCTTCACAGATGCAGCAGCTATAGAAGGGAACACTAATTTCAGCTGGATGTGTCTTCAGCATGATTTATTCACTTATGTGATGTCAAATTCATATACTCAGACTTCAGTATATGTTAAAGATTACACATGTATCTGTTATTCTATTACAGACCATGACACACAAAAATTGCACTGATATATGAAGTTAACAGTGTTTGAGAGATCATATATTGCGAGGAGATTAATCACATGCAACGGCTAATTAAAAAAAATTAGTGAAATAAAAATATTCCAAATAATTTAACTTAAAAGTATCTTTTCCTTATCAGATGTGGTGAAGTTCTGTGTATACTGTCTCATTTGCACTATGCTGTGCACGATATTCCTGTTAAAAGCAAATCCTACTTTTTCATTGTTCTTCAAAAATTTACAGAAAGGGGAAGAAAACACTATCTTATCTGGACTTCTTTTCTTCAAAAGACTTTATTATACAGGAAATAAGGTCCTGTGCACTTAAGAGGTACAAGCTAAATGGATAACTCTGTACCCTGGCAATTCACACACTGTGCTTTGGAGGGCGGTTTTCTTTTTTTCCTGCTTTTTATACACAGTAGCTCTTTATGCTGGTATTCCATAAAATTCATACTTACCTTGGCAGACTCTGCATCACACGGTACATAAAGTGTGCACGATACAGAGCACCTACTTAAAGAAACACACTCACCAATACATATTGTAAACTTTTTCAAATGGTAAAACAGAAATTGTATTGTCTACGAGCACATTTTCTGCCGATTTCTCACTAACTCTGCTTTTTTCTAATGTGCTATTGCTTACATTTTAAAATTACGGACATTTGCAAAAAAAATATAAAAGAGTCCCATGAGAGCTGCTAGGCTGTAAGAATTAATCTACTTTTGGCCTTATATTGACCTCAGGAAAAGGAATCTATAACCAGCCTTCCTTTCTTTTGCCTCAAAGTACCAATTTAAATATCAGTTTCAGATTAGACTATTTCACATGCTGTAATGAAAAAAAAACAGAATTGTGTTTTGTTTGAAATTAGTATCCTTCACTGAAATGATACTTCTGTCAAATACTTTTTCAGGGAAAAACAGGCTAGTACAGCTGAGAAAAAAATTACATGCTCTTGACAGTAATTTGAAATATTTAAAAGGTATAGATGAGATGATTCTATAACTCCTTTGCACATTTAGCTACAGCCTTCATAATCCCAATTTCAATGAAAAACTACAGCCCAGGGTGAACAGGTACAGGATATTAATAGAATAAGAAAGACAGCAAAGGTAGCTGCTTAGTTACTACTTGTTATTAAGAAAAACAGTTAAAGAGTAGCTGCTTGTTTTCCCAACTTACTCCAACGTTTTTCTGGATGCAGCCACATCTCATCTGAAAAACTTCCCCCTACACTAGTGTGATCTTTACAGACCAGGATACTGCCACATACATTCAACTCTAATTCATACACATTCAAGTCACATGCAACTTTTACATCAATACCTGTAAAAACACATCTGTGTATGTCTCATAGTTTTTTTTCCCCTCCAAGTCATGCAAATACCTATATACAAACATACAGAAAACACTGAGATGCCCTGCTCCTTGTTTCACCTTTTCACTCCAAGAGATTAGCGTGTTAACTATGCAGTACAAAAGCTAGTTAATACTCCTCATGCTTCACAAAAAAAAATCTGCAGTGATTTTAAAAACTGTAGTAATTAGGCAAACTTAAATACACCTCCTACACTAACCATTTTTCTCCTGCTACCACTTGCTTCCATGCTAGAGATCCTTGCCCTGCTAAAGTCCACATTCAATTCTAACTATGAGAATCTCACCATGTCATTTTAAGCTTTAATAATATCAGGTGTATCTTTAGGACTGAATTTTTTAATACACTAACACTGGTAAAAGAGAGAAGCCAATTAAATAAAAATAACTGCAGTTAACAGCACATGATTATGTATTTCCAGAATTGAACTCCAGTATTTCCACAATCGTTTTAACGTTTCATATGTTGCAATTTAAGATTTATTTCTAAAAAAGCCTCATGTTTAACTCAGGAAATCCTTTTTATTTCAAATAAGGGAATTTTTACTAGGGATGAACCAACTTAAAATAGAAAAAGTTGTACATACCTTAGGTTCTAGGAAGTATCCTTTAAAATATCGATACTGAACAGGAACTCCTCTAGGAAGCTCTACAGCAACTTTCCATGATTGACTGTGGAGAAAAGAATAAACAAACAAACACCAAACAAAAAAGTTTAAAAATACAGTCTAAAAGCCACCTCAGACGTATGCCTAAGTGATATTCTAAAATAAAAATCCAGTGTATTGCTGAAGGAAAGTTATTACAAGGTAACTTAGCCAAACATGAACAAAACACAACAAATACTTAGAATTGAAACTGCACTTTTTAATCTACAGATCTGAAGTGTGCTAACAGAGTGATAACTTTCATCCTCATTTAACAGATGGGGAAAACACGAAATAATTCAGGGACTCCTCCAAGATCACGCAGCAAGTCACTGACAGAATTATAAATACATCCTGCAAGCCCTG